ACCCCCACACACACACACAAACACACACACTCACTCACTCGCGATCACTTGCAGTACAAAAACATTTAAACAATACCGTACAACTCCTCTTCCACAGCACCATGCCTCCCATGCCGAGTTACTCTCTGTCCAACAACATACCGCCCAACCCAGCCTGCCTGCAGTCCTCGGCACCCTCATCCTACTCCTGCATGCTACCAGGTAAATTTTATCTTATTTAAAAGCAGTCAAACCTGTACCAACGGTCACCTGTAGGACAATCACCTATTCAAACTACATGTACGACCTATCATTTCCCCACTGCAATTTCTAAAGAGCATTATAATGATATTGTACACTGCGGCCATCAGTGTCTGAGGGCCTCTACTTTTCTTCTCGATAATAGGTGGCTGGCTTGCACCTAAATATTATTCCCTGTCTTCTGGTTGGTCAGTTCCCCCCCTCCCTAAAAGAGGAAAATTTTGAAGAGTCTATGCGCTATCGTGGTGTTCATAATTTCCCAAGATTTCATGCTACCATGTGATTATTATTAGATAATAATTCTGATGTGTCTCCTACATAAACACTTTCTTGTTTGTTTTTGCTTGTTGTTTTTCTAAAGAGTTGTAATGGTTAATTGTACTATTTCTGAGGCTTGTTGTTTCAAATTTAAAAAAATATATTTTCCATGATTCCACTTATGTATTATCCTGTTTTTTCTTTTTCCGGGAATTTTTTCTTGAGAGTGAATGAAGCAATGAGACTTACTGATTTTAGGGTCTGTTATATCATTTTGTCAGATCTCTCATGTTTTCTTTGTAAAGAATTTTAAAAAGTGGAAAACAGAAACACAAGTGTTATAGTTAAAAACCTGCATTTATTCGTTTGTTTTGTTAATATTCGTTCTCGTTCGATTTCTTGTTCTTCTTATTCGTACCATATTATGTTAAATTTTTTTCTTTCTAATTGTCTATATAAACTTCTTTTCGTACGAGTAACAAATATTTCAAAATCGTAAAGTACTCATGACCGGTGTCAGTTGTCTATTCGTAGAGCGATTCTCCTTTACTGAGCATAAGACAAACTGAACGGATCTACTGATCGATATACTGATCGCTTCATTGCTTGTTTGCTTGCTTGCTTGATTGAATGCTTAATTATCTGATGGATTGATAGATTGATTGATTGGTTTGATTGTGTTTGCCCTCAGAATATAACCCCCGTGGCTACGAGCACCCCCTGTCTCTGGGAAACTATGCCCGGCCCCCGTGTGCGTCCACGGGAGGCATGCACCAGAACCATCCCATGGGACAATCGCCCCACAACTCCGTCTCGACAGGTAGGCAACCCATTCCCCCCCTCCCCCCTC